CATGGCCCAAGAATTATGATCATGATGTCAACGCTGGGATTCAACGGGCGTCTATTTATGTATTGTTTATTATTTGTTATTGCTTGGTTGACTCACTCTTCACCACCACGAGCGACACCTCTAATGTCCAACAGGGACATTCCGGAACCCATAAAATTCTTCTGGTACGCGTCTTTCTGCTATACCTTCAAGCTTTCACAACTGATTTCTCTTAGTTTTGCGGAACTGGTCCAAGAAATCGCGAAGAAAAGCAAAGCGAAATCCATTGCTGAGCGCAAGGCAGCTGCCAAAGATCAAGCAAAGACTTGGTTCCCTGCACTCAGCGTATTCAAAGCATACTCTCAGGATCTACAGGCTGGGCCTCTTCCGCCGGGCACCACATCAATACTATTTCGTTTCTTGTTTCCCGAGGAGGACCACAAGCGAAAGTTCGGTTTGAGGAATAAGAGTCTTATTCGCGACATCGCGGATAGCCTCGGTGTAACTGAAGACGCGTTCTGCGAACAATGTGACTTCGCGGGATGTCCAGGAGATTATGTTTATGAATTCCTCCTTCAAAGATATTCTGTGAGTGTTATTGCGTTTAATTGAGCTTTGTATGTTCATCAATAGACTCTAATAGCCCGACAAGGATTATCGCGGAAATCTAGACATCGTCGAGGTCAATGAACTTTTGGATCAGCTAGCTTCGACATCACCTTGGTCTCACGCCGATTATTCGAAGAAAACCCTCAGTCGTAATTCTACCAAATCCCTTCTGACACGGAAGGACATCTTGAAAACTCTCTATCGACAAATGGCTCCCTATGAGGCTGCTGTTCTGACCCAAATCATTCTGAAAGATCTCCGTGGACTACTTTACCCGCAAATCGAAAGGGATCCTACTGCTGCTTTGAAAGATTATAACACTAAAGCAGTGAAAATCTTGACTAAGGAAAACGCCATGTGGGCTTGGGATCCATCGAATAGTATGAATCGCTCGTATCGCGCTAGATGGGAGTTGGATGCTGCAGCCAAAGCCTTCGAGAGTGGTCAGGAGGTGGGACCAAGGATCGGGACTCAAATTGGGGTATGTCTCCCCATTCAATTGGCTCCATCGCATCCTTTCTGAAACCTATATCGCTCCGGCTATCCTTTTCCTAGGTTCCGAAGTCCCAGAAAGGTCGTAGTTGCAAGCATGCCCTTTCATTCTTCTCAGACTTTTCGCAAGTGTGGGCAGAGACCAAATATGATGGAGAACGGGCACAGATACATGTTCAAGTCATACATGGGCAAAAACCTCGAATCACAATATTCAGCAAAAGCAAGAGGGATTCAACAAGCGATCGTCGAGCTATACATGCAGTCATTCTGGATTCTCTTGGGTTGAGTGGTCGTCCGGGAGTTGAGCCCCGAATCAGGAGGAGCGTGGTGTTGGATGCGGAAATGGTGCCCTGTGAGGGGACACAGATTTTGGGTAAAGCTTTATGACTTTCTTGGGTGTATGAGCGAATCTGATCTGTGCATGCAATAGAATTTTGGAGAATACGAAGCTTGATCCGCGAAACTGCAGCAGGCGTCCGAGGCAGAGGAAGAGATAGAGGAAGTCGAAGATGGACAGGAGATAACGATACTCAAGAGGAAGAAGTGGAAGATCAATCGTGAGTGGACAGGTAGTTCCTGGAATCTTTTGACGTGGTGTCCCATTGAATTTTCCTATCATAGAGATGAATGTATGTCCGAATCATCACTCTTGTCAAACACACAAGGCCAACATCTTGGCCTTGTCTTCTTCGATATCATGTATCTTGATGATGAGTCTTTACTCCAAACACCTTACAACCTCCGACGTGAAAAACTCGAAGAGCTGATCATCAAAGAGCCTGGAAAGGCTATGTTGGCAGATAGATGGCTCATTAATCTCGATGAACTTTCCCAAAACTCTCCGAGTACTCTGAGTTTCGACGGGAACCATACCGCTGATGACGACGAAGAAATGGCCTATCACCGTGAAGAAACTGCTGATAAAGATGTGAACGAAGGAGGTACTGCAAGACGAACTTTGCATGATGTATTTGCTCGGCGTATAGCGATCGGAGAGGAAGGACTGGTTCTCAAGGCAGCGGATTCCGAATATAACGAACCGAAGAAACCTTGGGTCAAGTTGAAAAAGGATTACATTGAAGGTCTTGGGGATACTGTTGATCTAGTTCTTTTGAGTGCTGCATGCGTTCCTGATCGTGCGCTGGAACTTCGAGGTACAAGATTTGCTTTTACTATGAGTTTGAATTTGACATTTTCTGTCTTGTTTTATTAGTTCCTCCTACTGCGTTGACTACGTTCTACATTGGGGCACAGACCAATAAAGAAGAAACTGCGAATAACGTGGGTTACGTTTGCATTTTCTATCTATCTTTTGAGTCGGATTATTTAACTAACAGTTCGAATCGAACCATCATAGTCCGAAGCGTTACCCCACTTTTACATCTATTTTACTGCTGCGTATGGGCTTTCCCGAGTAGAGTTGGAAGGGCTCAATTTTTTGTTGAAGCATGATGATCCCATTCGATGTACCACGAAACAATCGGTTCGTATTTCCTCTGTCCAACATCCAAAATCGATGATTGACTTGAATTTCGTTCTATATTCTATATTCTCTATAGCCACGAGATGGACTGGAGTACACGTATACGATGTACGACAAACTAGCTCGACCAGAACTCATGTTACGAAAACCGATCGCAGTTGAATTATATGGGGATAGGTTCACTGTCCCAGAGGGAAGCAAGGTCCGTACCAATATCTCATTTCGCACATATTCAAAACTTATTGAATCGTGCAATTGCATAGCAATACGAATTACGCTGGCCTCGAATTACCAAATATTTTCGTCGACATGAACGTTCGTGGTCAGATTGCATGTCGTTGCAAGAGCTTCGGAAGCAAGCGCGGGAGGCGATGGGTCGTGTTGCGGCTGCAGAGGCTGCCCGTAAGGATGCGGAAACGACATTCATACACCCTAATGCACGAAGTGGAAGGAATGCCTTTGTCAATGTCAATCATAGGCCTGAGGGTATGCGCAAGCGGGTAGAGATGTGGAGAACGAGAGTTGCTGCAGCGGATAGACCTAGGAATAACAAGGGAAGTGGGGAAAAATCCTCAGGTTCATTGGTGAAACAAAGGAAACGGGAACGATCTGTTCACAGTGATTTCGGAGCTTCGCCACGGAAGAAGAGGGTGGTTGGGAATGGAGGTGATAACGTCATTCCCAGTAGTCTTGCGGGATGGTGTACTACTGCCTCGAGTCGCTTACTTTCTTTGTCCGAGGTTTCTGGTCGATGTGTTCAGATGGAAACTTCTGTTATGCTTGATGATTCCCTTGCAGGGATTTCGGATGACCAGATCGTCCTTCCAGTCGTTGGAACTATCCCGGGAAACACAGTTGACATTGTCATTCCACTTGTCGAACACCTAGCATCTGAACACAAATCCGTTCCTCTCCAGAATGCTACGAATATGATACAGTTCGCAATTCAAGAAGATTCGCACTCTAAAAGTTCCTCATCTTCAAACAATGAGAACAGTCAACCCTTTGCTCCAAAACCCCCAACCCCAAGTTTAGCAAAAACGCACTTCTCCCAGCTGGAGTCACTTCGTTCGAAACGTAGACAATACCCTAGTCCTCCAACTTCTCCAGTCCATTCCAAACGATCGGACGAACGTGTACCCCCAACCGTATGCAAAACCGATCCTTCCGTTGACCTGTTCTTCAAAGACGCCTTATTCTGGGTTCCCGCCCTGAAAGACCGACAACCCGGTCTTCCTTCGGTCAGATCTATAGTCGAGTCTGGTTCGCGTGCGACTGGGCTGGAGGCGTTCCTTGGTGCGTGCAGATGGAATCCAAGAAAATATAATCCAGTGAAGCCGCCGCCCACGCGTGGGATAGTATTCGTGGATCTTGAGGATGAGTGGGGGTCGCGTTGGAAGAGGAACGTGGTGGATGGAATTAGGTATCTGGAATGTCAGTGGACATGTACAGATGAACCTAGGGTGCCGATATGGATTTTCGACCGCAGGACGGTATTTCAAGCAGGGAAGGATGTGGGTTCTCAAGCTCTCGATGCATTTAAATGATCCAGGGGTCTTTTATCTTTATTCCTAAGTTATGACTCATGTACAGTGTTGAGGAAATCTCTCCTGTAGAGTAGCGTGCGGACAAGAACAAGTTCTACAGGGAAATAAATGTACCTGTTAGGTTCGCGAGCCCAAGATCATGAGGAAAGCGAATTCGTAATCCCACGACTAAAGCTTACCGCATCCGCAAAACCTCAGAGGTGGTGTGGTACTGGCATTATCTTAGGGTAGCAAAAGAAATTCATATTGGTTGACTATACTCACAGACATTTGTGCGTAAGTAATGTACACTATAACACATTCGCTGGTTTCTCACCTATTACATCCTGCACCTAATTTGTCCAAACACTATTGCAAAGTTTTGACAAGAGAGCCTACGATACACAATCAAATCACAGAGGGATTGAAACAACCATTGTAAACTGAAACTAGGAGGGGATATGCGTATGGCGCCCGCACATGGCAGGGAATTGAACCCTGTTCAAGTCTATGTAAAAGACCCGCTACAACCAGTAACAAGTCTAGGATTGGAGGGGATGTAAGTTAAGATATGGCACTGGTAGTGCATGTGCATGTGACCTACCAATGGTTTCACGTGACCTGTTTTTTTTCTTCTTCGATACGGATTTTCGAATTTGTGATTTTCCTCAAGGCTTCAAAAGCTTTTATTTCGCTTCTATGTACTGAAACAACCACTGTAAACTGAAACTAGGAGGGGATGTAAGTTAAGAGAAGGTAACTTGAATTAAGTATGCATGTGACCTACCAATGGGTTCACGTGACCTGTTTTTTTTTCTTCGATTTTACGGATTTGCGAATTTGTGATTTTCCTCATGGCTTCAAAAGCTTTTATTTCGCTTCTAAAAAGTAGGAACAAGCAAAACGCATGCTCCCTGCAAGGCTCGAACTTGCGACCTCGAGATTCAGTCAGAAGTGACCTCAGATTATGAGACTCGCGCTCTAGCCAACTGAGCCAAGGAAGCGATGCTATTGTGCAAAGATATACACCCTTATCCAATACTTTTATTGACAGATATCTATCTGAATTCATGAAGTATTTGTCCTCGGAATTCCACCAGATTCCACCTCGTCAAAAACTTGGTTCATGTCCTGCGGGGGGGAGAGTGAATTCATCATTGAAAATCCAACGAACTTCGAGCTCTACTGCGCACTTTTGGATTTCAATTTATAAAGATCTTGTTCCCAATCAATGTAAGGTTCAAGGAAGTTCGGTGTATGTACGTGTGGCCGTGTTGTGTGGAATATAGTTATTGTTGTTGAAAGTCTATGAGCAATTTTTACCTGCACTTTCCTTTGCCATCACTAAATCACGGAGACTCTTACAGCGTGTTCGGAAAATGATGACAATCGCGAAACTTTTATCAGCCCATAAAATAAAATAAAATCAAAAGGTACGCGTCGGCTACCGAAGAAAATTTGCCCAAACGAGAAAGCACTTGATGTTGTACTGATTGCTATTGAAAACCATCCCATACCTAATGGCTATATACAAGTAGAGGTTGTTCCTAAAGCTCCAGAAATAATCCCTAGGATGAACTGAAGTGGTTTCAGACACCCCACACCCCTCCTAGACCTTTGTGCTATTATTGCAGATGCCCTGCTGCATCTTTCCCTGGCTGATCAGGTAAAAATCTCCATACAAATGTGCGGTATCCGACGCATAAGCTCGTGTACCTTTTTATTTTATTTTATTTTTTGAGCAGAAAAAAATATCGCGTCTGTCATCATTTTCCGAACACGCTGTAAGAAGGATTATAATATGGAATTTCCAGTATAATGTGGAAAAACAGGTATCATGTTGCTACGACATTGTGGCAACATTGTCAGCCCTTACAAGACCTTAAAATGGCTGCCCCAATCCAACAATCATTTTTGTACACATCTGCAAAACATGGATACTCGCCAGAGCAAGGATACTAGCTGGAGAGCGCTCTCCAGCAACGAAAGCACCCAAAGCAAAAATCAAAGCCTGCTCTGGGTGCTTTCGCTGCTGGGAAGTGCTCCCAAGTGCTCTGAGCTGCTTTCGGCTATTTAGCCGAACATACAGGTTTTGCAGATGCATTCTCAACATTGAATAATCATTTGATCTCTGTGATAATACTCGGAAATCATTTTTGAAAATTATATGAATAAGGCCATATAGAGCCGTCGCAGGTACAGTCGACTCCCTCTTAACCCATACCCCTCCGTGGAGGTCCAGACCTATGGGTTATGGGAGAGTATGGGTTTATGGGGTGGTCACACCAAGTGACATATGTGACAATTTGCCTAATCGGGAGCTGTAACACACCACATATGGGTTATCATGGGTTATGTTAGCTCAAAATTAGTGTAAATCGACCATTTTATTGGTTTTGTATTGATTTTGTGCCAATTGTCTATTTACTGATCCCATTTTGGGAGTATCAAATGCAATGATAGCAATCAAGGTATGGGTTATGGGTAAAAATATAGCGGAGAATACCCCCAAAAAGGTATGGATTATGGGGTATGGGAGAGTTATGGGTTATGCATGGCATTTCCCTGCAAACAAGGTCAGTAACCCAGAAAATGTATGGAGTATAAGGGAGTATGGGTTTATAGGGGTATGGGTTAAGAGGGAGTTGACTGTATTCCCTTACCAATTTGCATGAATATTGTGACATCACTAGCCTGCTAATGCCTAATGCATGATAAAATTCACAATTGTTGTAATCATTTATTCCAAGCAAACCAGTTCGAAATAATGGATTTAAATATCTCAGTTCAATGTGTGGTATATAAATGGTACAAGAACGACAGCCGTGATAATAATCTATTAATCTATGATGTACAGGGATTAGATACAGCATTTGATCTAACGTATGTAAACATACCGTTTACTGACACATACTGCATACAGTCACACTCGTGACTAGACCATCACACTATATATAGACTGTCCTTAACAGGACATGCTCCTCTCCGACTTTCCTCCCTACTTCCATTACACACATAGAGTACTCTCCTCTAGATATCGACTCGCCGTATCTCTCTCGCAATCATACTTGATTCCTAGTATCCTCGGATCCTCGTGAGTCTTTCGCTTAGTGTTACCCGCGGGACATCGCGGGTTTCCACTTTTTTTTTACTACGTTTCAAAACCTGATTGGTGGAAGAACCTAACTGTTTAATCCATTTACATCTCAAGTCACATCTTGTCCAATCGCGAGCCTTGCTTGTCTCTTCGGAGACCAGGACTTCGTTCTCGTAATTCGTATTTTGCCTTTCGCACCGCATCTCGTTTCGTCTCTCGTATCTCGCCTATTTCGTAATTCTCCTCGTATTTCGCTTACCTCGCCTAGTATCGAATTTCATATTCATCTAGTGCTGAGTCCCGCATTCACGTTATACCTTTTTTGCCCCTTCAAACCTCTATTGTGGTTGAGAGTATGACTAACATGTCGTCTACAAAGGTCACGTCTTTCACAACTCTGGCTGATCAAAGACCTCGTCGAGAAGGTTTACGGAGTAATAACAAACAAGTTTCGGACTCCTTACCTGTCGAACGAGCATCATCTCGCCAAATTGGATCAGATAGATCTTCGCCCGTCCAAATAACCGAATCTCAAGATACTTCCCCGGACTCAAATTGCCCGGACGCAAATTCTCCCCGTTTATCACTACCCTCTTCTGACGACAGCATGACCACTCGCGTTAACGAATCTGGCAACATCGAGCTTTGCTCTGGAAAATATGGTCCTCGAGTCAAGCCTGGTGTTATATTATCACCAGAGGACCTTGATGATCTTTATGAAGAGGCTCATCGTCATGCCAAGACCAAAGCAACCAAAGACATCGAAAATGTCAGGGAGATCATCGCGGATGCTTTCCCATCTCGTGTACACCGTGATTGGTTCCATTCGGAAAAGTTGGGTCATCTTGGTTTGGCTTTGGAGTCTAAGGATGCCTTGGACGAGACTGCGCCACCGACTTTCCCTTTCCTCGATGCTCTCCGACGCAAGTTCTGCGGTCATGACTGGGCTCAGGTTCACGCTGGACGCCGTGATGAACTTCGTATGTCTGTTGGCGGAGTCGGCTGCTTCGATGAATATCTCTCCCAAGTGGAGGGATGCAATAATCGATTGAAGGGCGTCGGGAACTATTTCACACCAGCACAACTTCTCACCATTCTTGCTCGCGGTATTACTCCGACGCTTACGGCTATTCTTTCAGAACAAGGTGTTGTCATCAATGAATCGATTACTTATAAAGATTGGGTTACTTCTTGCCGTGATCTTGAAGTTCACTTTAAGTCTCGTCTCATGTCTGGAAACGGACGCCGTGGAAACTTCGGATCCTTTGCGCAAAACAACTCTTCCTCAAACAACAACGTTCCTGCCCATAAGCGCATGGCCACTAGTGAGCCCGCTACACATCCAAACAAGCGTGCTAGCTCGGATACACTCTCAAGTTCTGGTCCTTTTTACATGCGCGCTTTCAGCAAGATGCCTGAAGCCATGCAGAAGGAACAGCGTGAACTTTTGGGTCGCATCAATGCTTGTGTCAAGTGCCGGACTGCGTGGGGTACCTGTGCTTCGAATTTGGAAAAGTGCACCGGGGCTACCTTGTCTGTTCCCTGGCGTCCACTTACGAAGGAAATGGTGGAGTGGGCTATTGCGGCCCATAAGTCTACTGGACGTCCTATCCTCTACAATGCTATTCTCAAGCAGGCGAGTTCTACCTCTGCTATTGCATCTGTACACGGAGCTCCACTCGATGACATTAGTCAATATGTCGATGTTGGACCTAGCCGCCCTCCTCCTGTAGCTGCGGCGATATATGGTTCGAGGTCGATTACCCACATCGCGCGCGACGGTGACCTTTTCGGGACCATCCTTCAAGCGTTCGAGTTCTGTTTTGGCCCCTCGTTCTGCTCATGCTGTTGCTCCTGTTGTAGACCAACAACGTCTCACGCATGACGAAGATGAGGAGGATCTTGATTGGTCTGATGGTTCCGTTTCTCCTTCGCCTGCGTCTCGTCATAACTCAGTTGACGTTGGTCATTCCAACAACGCGGTTGATGCAACGAACGATTCCGTCGTCGATGATGACCAGGTACGTGTGTCTCCGATGCCTTTTGAGCTCCCGCATCTTACGTGGAAGGCTATCCTTCGGGGCACTACCTGCGAACGCACTCATACACTTCTCATTGACAATGGCTGCCCTTTTGTATTGATACGTTCTGACTGTCACAAAGCGGCAGCGGCGGGGTGACTAAGCGGAGCAGAGAGGCGGAGCAACTGAGCAGAGTGGTAAATGCGGAGCGACTAAGCGGAGCAGGAGCGGACTGGTCCCAAGATAATGACAGAGTTATATTAGTATCGTAATTGTAAGTACTAGTAAGTAAGCACGTACCTGGTCCCAAGATAATGACAGAGAGGTCAAGATAAGGGACCAGGTAGTGGGGGCTGGCTTTATATACACAATCCGGTCTGCGAGAACTGATGATGTAATACTGTACAGTTTGAGAATAAGGAAGGTGGCGGAAGCCGGTAGAAGGAGAAGGGTAACTGATGGATCAGTAATCGATGAAGGGGGTCAGGTGGATCAGTAATCGATGGGAGTTCGACAATGGTGGGACGTGAAAGTGATGGAGTGATGTATCGTACAAATAAGGGCGTAGAGACGGTGAGAAAAGGAAAATGATAGGGGCTACGTACTTCATGACATTACCCCCCTCCTTATGACCATTGCCCTCGATGGTCAAGCTTTAGCTGCTGAGGGGTGTTTCTTGTGGAATGCTCGAACGATCTTTGGCGCGCGGCTGAGGTTGGGTGCTGGTTCCCATGAGTTATGTCCTGCATCGTAACCCTTCCACTTAACCAGGTATTCCAACCTCTTCCACCGAACCCGACTGTCCAAAATCTCCTCAACTTCGTACTCCGGCTCATCTTCATCTTCTAGGTAAACCGGCTCTGGTGGTGTTGGTATTTCTCCATTG